CAAGAAAATTATGTGTGTACATAGCGCAAAATGAAAAAATGGCAATTTTTACGGGTAATATTGCCTAGTTATTTTATGAAATAAAAACTTGTGAAGCGCACTCTATGTACAAGTGGGGTCTGGGCATTGATGCTGGGAATGCATGGACTACTGGGGAGCAGGAACACGAGCCACGGTGCCCACCTGTGGCAAGCCTAGACCTTGTGAACTTAGTGGGCACTGCATGCTCTGCTGTGGCTGAGCATCATGGGGTAGTTAGTGTTGTTGGGTGGGTAAGGCAAGTGCTGGGTGCCTGTTTATTATGTTAGATGGGTTCCAAATACCCCAGCATGAATCGTGGCCACACAGAGCCGGGCTTTGTGCAGTGTACGACCCAGCAAACTCGGCAGATAAGGCATGGTGACCTTGCTACACATCTGCGGTTGCCATTAGCAAAATTGGAAAAAAAACCCGGCTGCCAGGCAGGACGCAGTAAAAATATCCCGCCATCAAGGGGTTAAACAAAAGATTTTAATTTTTTAGGCAGGTTTTAATAGAAGCGTCCATTTTGCACTGAAAATTGAGGCCTCCCAAAAAATTTTATTGGAAAGTTGTATTGATTGAGTGAAATCAGGAGTTTTGAATTAAATTAGTGGGAGTTAGATGAAATTTCACTTTGAAATTTGAGGTAAAAATGTTGCTCCGGCAAGGCACTGGAGGCAAAAAATCAAACTACGTGCAGTTAGGGGGCTTCAACAATAAATGAAGGATGTTGCCGTGACAACAGTAAAAGCTGAAGGGATGTATTGTTTTTGTTTTGCTTTTTATTGTAGGAGGAAGTCATTAAGAGAAGATGATGGAGCAAGGAGTGACCAATGAGTGGGCAGCATCAGTAGAGAGCACAGAACCTGAGTAAGTTCCTTCCCAGCACCAGGTTATTTAATGACAAGCTGGATTGAGAAAGTGAACTTTAGATATCAGAAACAAAAAGAATAATTCTATACAAAACCTTTGTACTGTGACTTCCTTTGTGAAGTCACCACTCTGTTTTCACTGCTGAAGTTAACACCTAGAGTCATTGATGACATCCGTATTCCATTACAGGAAACATCTCACCTCTGTTTACCTACATTTGCATATCAGCACACGTTTGGCCTCACAGAAAATGATGAAGATGACTCTGATGTTAGCTATAGCACAGACAGTGAAGGTAAGTACATGTACTTTTTCCAAAGACTGTTCTATAAAAACCCTAGATATCAGAAACAAAAAAAATAATTCTATACAAAACCTTTGTACTGTGACTTCCTTTGTGAAGTCACCACTCTGTTTTCACTGCTGAAGTTAACACCTAGAGTCAGTGATGACATCCGTATTCCATTACAGGAAACATCTCACCTCTGTTTACCTACATTTGCATATCAGCACACGTTTCGCCCCACAGTAAATGATGAAGATGACTCTGATGTTAGCTATAGCACAGACAGTGAAGGTAAGTACATGTACTTTTTCCAAAGACTGTTCTATAAAAACCCTAGATATCAGAAACAAAAAAAATAATTCTATACAAAACCTTTGTACTGTGACTTCCTTTGTGAAGTCACCACTCTGTTTTCACTGCTGAAGTTAACACCTAGAGTCAGTGATGACATCCGTATTCCATTACAGGAAACATCTCACCTCTGTTTACCTACATTTGCATATCAGCACACATGCCTGTCAAACCTCGCTGAAAAAGGTCATCCAAGCCACATCCTTCGCGCCCACTGCATGTCCCCCCATAAAAGGCTGCGTAGAACTAAGACTCGTCCTAGTGTTTTTTCAGCGACGCATGTAGTCGACATTGTGTGAATTTAGTGTACAATAGAGTTTCACGTTTACACGCAACCTCGCTATTTTCTATGTAAAAATGGTGGAGACTGCCAAAACCTGACACAGGACTGGAAGTTCTATCAATAGTTCAAGCCATGTTCCGGGCAAATCCCCCGGTTCCTCCAAGCCTGATCGGCCCTCCAAGCATGTCATTTCCACCGTGTCGACCGAGTCTACTCTACCGTGTTCGACGAGTGGAAATTCCTCGGGGCTGAGCCTGCGACCAGCACCTAACAGGGCTTCTCCCTGGCAGGTTCCGCACACCTTTGGTAGCCTACGTGAGCACTTGGCAGCAGTGGAGTCCAACGTCCAGGTGCGTGCAGAACAGCGGGGCCTGGCGCTCGATGCAGCACAGTCATCTGAACGTCCGGCCACCCCCGCTCGGTAACAGAGGCCCAGGGCACCACCACCACCTCAAGTCGGCAGCACATTTTCAGCCACGTGGACAACAACTTTTTCATTGCAGATACAGGTTAGATGCAACAGCTTCAACCTCGTTCTCATCCAAGTGCTTGGTCTTACTCTTCAAACGACTCTAGCCAGCATCCAGATTTTTCAGCAGTGTTTGGCGAGAACTATTCTTGTTTTCTTTGGTGGATTCCTTCACCCTTTGCAATAGCCCACAATGTAACTGTCTCTGAATCGTCGAACCATTTCTTGGCATCGTTCTGCCGACTGCCATACCATGCTGCCCGTCCCAGCAGTATGCCTACCACTGCATGGGCCTCCTTTTTCCTTAGCTGGCTAATCTATCACCTACAGTGATGACAGAAGTACATGTAGGTAAGCTTCAATCATGTCAGCTTCTTTTTTTTTCCAATCGTGCCTTATTTACGTGTCCTGTCTTATCATCAGGGGATTGTAGGGATTTTAGCGCTTATGCATGTAGGCCTATCTCAAAATAGAGTTTTGATTGTGTCATGGGGATTAGATCCCGTTCTCCCTCATTGACCGATGTGCTCCTCAACCATTGTGGAGCTGTTCTATTCACAGTAATCAGTGTGTCTTAATCTCTTTGTGTTTTTTGGGGCCAATAGGCCTAGCTACCCTCTCTAACTGCACAGAATGTTTTTGTATTCCACTTGGTACATTTATTTCCTGTACTCACTTGTTGCCTAGTTCTTGGCATCAGAACTTGACACGGTCATGTGGGTCCCGATACACTACATGCATGTACAGTCTCAAGACTACTTCAGGTTTGGAAGATTATTCAAGCTTCTGCTGCTGTAATAGTTCTAATTCCACTGAAGCTGTTGTCATTAGTCACCTTTGCCTTACGTTTGCCCTTTAGAGCTTCAGTCTGTGTGGACTCCCGTACTCAAATTTAACTCGCAGCACTGCGTTTTCCTACTCTGTGGTGTCACTTTTTGGTTTGAGTTGGACCCTCCGGTTCAAGGTCTTCTGGCAGGGTTCCTGCGTGCATTCAGTGACTTAACATGTGCAGACCATTCTTGAGTATATTTGGCTGCACCTTTTTCAGTGTGTTCCATGCACAATCTTTAGGTGCCTTCCATACATGTATATTCAATTCGGGTGCGTTGCGTGCCAACGTGTTCGTGCAATCACTTTCTCAGAACTTGGCATTCTTGCCCTTTGCGTCCCCCTGTTAGGGCTGCTCCAGGAGCTATTTTGTCCAGCACGCGGCATGGGATGCAAGTTTTGTCGCGCTCGGGTAGAGTGCCTTAGCTTGCACACCCTTGTTTTGAGTAATAATCACTTTCCTTGTTACAGCTCCAGCCCCTGCTCAGCCTCGCCTCCCCTACAAAGAATTATATAGTCTCTGGGTAGGTGCCTCCTGCTCAGTGTATTTCTTGAACAAGGTACAAGTACGCCATTCACGTTGCAGTGGTGCATAAAGCTGGACCTGCAGCATCCCCTTTTGGTTACCGTTAGCCTTCCACTTTATTTCTGTGTTGGTAAGTGGCTGCCTTTGTACTGTACTTTAGTTACGATAGCCTTTGGATGTCTAGGTGTTATGCTGGTCTTCCTGCATTTCCCCAACATGTCCACGTTGCAGTTGTACAGGTTCATTCACAGGATTTGCCCCCTTTCCCTGCATTCATATTTGTTCCTCCAGGTTGTTTCCTTGGCGAGCATGTTCCCACAAATTTCATTAGCACAGCTCTAGGTTTCCGTCTACTTCTCTGGTTCCATGAGATCAGACGCTATATGCTCATATATGTGTGACCTGGGTTGACCTCTTTCTCCTTTGGTTCCCATAGTGGTTACCTGACTTGCGCAAATTGTACATTAGGACTTCAGTTGCTTGTAGTTCTTAGGCGTGGTTAACTGTATAGTTAGGTTGCTGAAGGCAGGTTTTTTATTACCTTCGTGAGTCTTGGTTGTCATCATCCCATTTCATACCATACATTCCATAAAACACGTGCATACAAGATACATGCAGCACAGGTAGTTTTGGGTTTCTTGTGATCAGTGTTGGATTAAACAGTGCCCATACAACAACACAGTCTATAATAGGTACTTTGTAAAGGCTCAAGCCGCCTTTACAGGTTTATTTTTGTACAGCCATTCAGTATAACTACTCGGCTTACTTTATACAGTGTTGGGGGGCGTGGCAATATCAAAGTTACCGCCCTCTTGAGATGACAACCACACACATATTCAAAACAGCCTGGGTGCTTTCTCAGTTGGCCTCCTTGCCCTTCCAGTATTTTGTGAGGTTGTATTTGAGGCATAGTGGTCTTTGCCCTTCTACAGCTATGGCTGTAGCCTGTTGTTCCGTTTGATAACAAGTTCTGCCGGACCATGTTACTTGAGGCCTTCTGCCTCTAGACCGCAGACAGGATGCACCTTTGTCATTTTGGTATTGTTCCTCTCTTCAAGCCATCCACTGGTCAGAGGAAGACTTCTTCTGTTGGGTCCGTAATGAATACTGTAGCTGAACAGGGTTCGACGCTTTTAAGAACGACACTCAGCCGCAACTCGCTGTTTTGGTCAGGAAATCTGCTTTTAATGCTCTCGTCCACAACAATCCGTCTTTTTTAGCTCAAATCCAAACATGGTGGCTGACGGCAGGGACTGCGCAGGTGCTAGGCGGGAAAACTGCGGGTCGTTCGCAACCAGCGCGGGCAGCCAGCCAACTCCATGCGGGTCCGAGCTGGCGTCCCCACTGGCCGGACCCGCTGGCACTACACTGCCTCCTCCGAGGACTCGGCCAACGCTCCGCGGGCTGTGCGCTCCCACCATCCAAGCTGCACGTCGCCCAGGTAGCGCTTGAGCCGATTGAGATGCACGATCTGAGCCTTCGCTCGGACGCTACGCTGCACTTTGTAGGTCACGTCGTTGAGGCGTTGTAGCACCGCGAAGGATCTGTCCCACCACGGCTGCAGCTTGGGGGAGTGGCCGACCTTCTTCTTTGGGGTGAACAGCCAAACAGCCTGGCCGGGCTCGAACCCGCCCTCCTGGGCGCGACGGTCGTACTGCTGCTTCTGGTAGCTCTGAGTCCGCCTCAGGTGCCGCCAGGCAAACTTGTGGGCCCGCGTGAGCTTTGCTCTCAGCTCGTCAACGTAATTTAGTGGTTCGGTAGTCTCCGTCTGTTCGTCCGGTGACCCACCTCCCTCCCGAGCATGAGCATGTTCGGGGTGAGCCTGGTGCTATCGTGCTGGGAGGAGCAGTAGGCCATCAGAACGTAGGGAAGATGTTCGTCCCAGTCGTCCTGGTTCTCATCCACAAACATGCTCAGCATGGTCTTCACGGTACGATTGAACCGTTCAACCATGCTGTCGGACTGGGGGTGGACGTTCGACCATGCCGTCGGACTGGGGGTGGAACGGAGTCGTCCTAGTCTTGTGGATGCCCAACAGCTGGCAGACCCCACGGAACAAGCCCGCCTCAAACTCCCGCCCTTGATCAGTGTGGATCTCGAGGGGTGTCCCGAAGCGCGTGATCACCTGCTCCTCTTGGCCACAGTCTCGGCCGTCTGATCCGGAAGGGGAAACGCCTCCACCCACTTTGTGAAATGGTCCGCCACTACCATTATGCTGGTGTTTCTGGCCTTGGTTCGGGGCAGGCGTCCGGTAAGGTCAATGGCGATCCGCTCCATGGGGGCCCCAACCAGGTATTGTGGAAGCGGAGCTCTCCCGCAAAGCCGTAGAACCGCAGAGATGACACTTCTGGCACCACTCCTCAGCCTGCCGTCTCATCTCCCTCCAATACACGGAGCCTGTCTGAGTCGGGTCACTGTTCAAGCGACCCCGAGGTGTCCAGCAGTTCGGTGGTTGTTGGCAAGAAGTAGAACCTCTGGCACCCTGACCTGCGGGACGGCGATCTTCCAGGTGGGGGGCCCCCCGTCGGCCCTTGCCCACTTCACCTGCAAGACCCCTCGGAATAGGCACAGTGTGTCCCATCTGGACCTCCAGCTTTTGACCCCGGCGCCAAGGTCGGAGATGTCCTCCCATTCAGGCCGGTCGCTCCCCGCCACCAGCCACTGGCAGACCGGTCCCAGCTCTGGGTCGTCCTGCTGCTCCTGAGCTAGCTTGCTCAGGTCCCAGACCTTGGGAAACCCGTCCAAAATCGAGTCATCCTCCTCTCCGTCCATGTCGGCTGTGGCAACCAGGGACTCATCCTCTGCCTCCGGCGGCCGGCTCTGAGGGGGGTCCGAATCCGCCGGAGGGGCCGGCCCCGTGTAACATTCTTGGTCAACCTCTAGGGAACGCCTGCACTGGCCGCAGGGTATCAAAGAGACGGCGTCGGTGTGTTTCCGCCCCACTCGCTGTTCTATGTCAAACTCGTAGCACCCCAGCCTCTGCAGCCATCTGGCTGCCTGCCCCTCTGGCTCTTTGAAATTAAAGAGCCAGCGCAGCGAGCCGTGGTCTGTCCTCAACAAAAAGCATTTCCCCAACAGGTAGTGCTTAAAATTGTGCACAAAGTGCACGACCGCCAGGAGCTCCTTCCCGGTCGCGCAATAGTTCCTCTCTGCCTTGGTCAGGACCCGACTCCCATAAGCCACAACCAGCTCTCTGTGCTCCCCCTCATGGGAGAGAACGGCCCTGATCGTGCAGTTGCTGGCATCGGTATCCAAGATGTAGCGCCTCCCTGGGTCCGGATACTGCAACACCGGCGCCATTGCAAGGGCATCCTGTAGGTGTTCAAATGCCGTCTGGCAGGCATCGGTCCACACAAACTCCTTCTGGCTCTTGTTGGTCAAAGCATGGAGGGGCTGGGCGATCTTGGCGAAGCAGGCAATAAACCGCCGATAATATGACGCCAGGCCCAGGAAACTCCAAACCTGCGTCACGTTCGTCTGCCTTGGCAAACCACGGATTGCTGCGACCTTAGTGGGGTCCGTCCACACCCCCTCTGCCGACACCAAGTGGCCCAGGAAGGATTCCTCCGTCTTGAAAAAGTCACATTTCTTGGGTTTCAGGTTGAATCCGGCGGTCCGGAACTGCCCCAGTACCGTGGCCAGCCTCTGGTAGTGTTCCTCAAAGGTCCGCCCCCAAACTATCACGTCATCCAGGTAGACGACGGCCACTTGCCACTGGAAACCCCGCAGGATGCGCTCCATCAGATGCTCGAAGGTGGCCGGAGCGCTACAGAGCCCGAAGGGCATCACGGTAAATTGGTAGAGGCCGCTCTGTGTCCCGAAAGCCGTCTTCTCCTTGTCATCCTCCGCCATGCGGACCTGCCAGTACCCGCTGGCCAAGTCCAGGGTGCTGAACCACCTGGCTCCCTCGAGTGCGTCTAAGTTATCCTCTATCCGAGGGATGGGGTAGGCATCCTTCAGGGTGGCTGCATTGACCTGATGGTAGTCCACGCAGAAGCGGACAGACCCGTCCTTCTTCCGCACCAGGACCACCGGCGACGACCACGGGCTGTGTGACGGTTCGATTACCCCATCCGCCAGCATCTGGTCCACCTGACTCTGGGCCTCCAACCGCTTGTGGATCGGAAGCCACCGGGGAGGTTGACAGATGGGTGGCGTCCTCCCTGTGTTGATTGGGTGATGGACCCAGTCGGTTTGGCCAAGCCTGCCGTCCGGCCCAGTGAAGGCACCCTGGAACTCTACCAGCAGGCTCGCCAGCCGTTCACATTCCTCGCCGTCCAGATGAGCCGCTCCCTGGTCTAGGAGGTCCCGCAGGTGGGCGGGCTCGCTATTGCCTGAGCTCCGAGAAGAGCCTCCCTGGCAACCGTGGCCCGCTGGACCGCCCTCAGGGCTCCGCACGGAACCTTCCATAGGGCAGGGCTCTGAAACCACCTGTTGAGAACTCTCCTCAGGGTTGATCACCGCGCCTTCTTCCACGGGGGCGAACATGGCCAGACGACTCCCCTTATAGACTGTAACCGGGTCTCCCGTCGGGTTGAATACTCGCACCAGCACGGCCCCCTGACTGGTATCCACGAGGCCCGTCGCGATGGCCACCTGGCAATGGTCTGTGGCCGCGAGGCTGTGGTACACCATCCCCACTCTGCGGGCATGATCTCCACAGACTTTCCGGGGGCACTTCCTGAGCCCCCGCGGCGCCGCAAGAGGGTGCCCCCATACTATGGCTAGTATTACAAGCTTCAGCTACCTCGCACCGAGGTTCCAACCCCGCGGCAGCCGCCCGGCCGTGCTCCGAGAGGAACATTCTCTCGGCCACGACAGTACCGCGAGAGGGCGCCTCGACGCTACCACACGACATGAATGAACTTCCAACCGGCCCCCGCCAGGACCCCCAAGCCGCGGACCCACCCTGAGGGCGCTCCAACTGGAACGCCTCTCCCAGTGCATCCCCGCCGCCAGAGGGCACCCCATGGACGCCGTTGGTGGATGTACTAGTGCACATGCAACCTTACTGGCTTACAGCAGTTGGCCTGCAAGCTGAGTCGAACACGAAGTGGGTTTTTGGCTATCCCTACTGTGCAAGTTTTCCTCAAACATCATCATTAAACATGTTTTTATGTGGTACATTAATAAACAATAAACCAATCAAGTTATGTACCAATACCTGTGTCTACGTCTTGAGAATTTATTCATTTGCTTTGCTTGATTGGGTTGTTACCGCATAACGCAGCGCGGGCCAGTCGGTCAGGGTTTCCGTGCTGGGTCACGTGATACATATACAAAGTGCTTGAGGGCACATCATTCGTGCCTGATTTAGGCTGCATCCGAGTCTCTTGTCTAGAGCTAGGTCTTGGTATTCACTCCATTGGAAATGCATGGAGACGCGCAGGCAATAGACCTAGCCATAGCTCTGGAAACCCGTTTCGGACACGGCCGTATTTTACGGTTTCGGTTGATGCCCACCCAGTGCTTGTCGACGTGACAATGGCAGTCCGTGTGAACATGCTCGGCTCATCAAAGAAAAAGTTGTGCGCGTGACAGTAATGACTCGTAATGAAGGCAAGCGTTCTTTCGTCACTTTTTATTTATCATTCTTCAGTGTTTTTTTTAACTGGCCTGCCAAAACTTTGAGATGAGCAGCTTTAGTGGTACTGACGTTTCGAGTAACGGATAGTTTATTGTACATAAAAGCCTATTCTTTTGTCGGGAAAACGGAAAGACGTCGAGGTAAACAGAGTTTCGACTTAACAGGCTTCGACTTATCGAGATTTTAGTGTAGATTCCCCTAGGTAGCTCAACACCGGTGGAGCCCTCCAGGCAGGCTTATGGTAACTGTCTTCTCCACTTTCTGAAGTAGTACAAGATGATGGCTATTGATCCCCATTCTTCAGCTTCGCCTATCATCAGGGTTTTTCCGCTACAAACTTTGAGGGGGATCAGGGCATCATTTTATCCCAAGTCTCACATTGATCCAACAGAGGCTCGTACTCTTCATCAACCGACCTTTAAAGCGGTATTTTTGATGGCTGCTCAAACAGTTTCACAAGGAGGCCAATTCTGTGCCTAGTCCACAGAACCAGTCCACCTTTACCGGCAACCCGAAGGCGTATGCCTCAGTAACATGCGGTTTCTTTCCACAGGTCATTTAACCGGTTTCTCTTCCTTAGATGTATGTACCTTCATCCCAAGGTTGACAGTGATTTCAACAATGGCAGGGGTTTATGGTGGTGCCCCATTCAAGAGCTTCCACACATTTCTTCACTCGTTTTCAGACCCTGTGAGGCCACATCAAGCAGTTGTTCATCACAACCGTCCAACTATGTTGCCCGGTCTCTGTGACCACGATCGCTCAAATGGGATCAGAGGCCATAATACGTGTAAGCCCTCTTGATATTGAGGATCGAAATCAGGCTCCCAGGAGACCAGCAGCGCATCAATGTCCTCTGCCCACCAGCTCGGAGTTTCTGTTTCGGGCATAATGAAAACGACCTGCAAGGAGAATTTAATCACCTTCAGTTGATGCTACCTGAAGGATGTGGTTCAAGCATAGGGTGTCGTGAGCAGGAAAACCCTCAAGCAGGTCAGCCGATCAGCAGCCTCTACACCCCAAAAAGCTACTGTTTCTCACAATTAGAGAGGCAGCTTCCGGGTATGTCAAAACAACCTTTTTCATATTTGAATGGGCTCAGTTTAGACCTTCGTTACCCTGCATGTCCCTTCCCTCCCAAATTGTTACTTAACGGTGCTACTCTGCAAAAGTAGGTAAACAGAGGTGAGATGTTTTCTGTAATGGAATTCCCAAAATCCAATGGGATTTTCCATTCTAGTAAGAAAACACTCACCTCTGTCTACCATCCCTCCATATTCCAAATAAATGAAATTAAGAAACCTCAAAAAAAAAAACTAGGACAAGTCTCAGTTGTACGCAGCCTTTTATGAGGGGACATGCAGTGGGCACGGAGGTTGTGGCGGGGGTGACCTTTTTGAGCGAGGTATGATGCGCATACGCGCTGATATGCAACTGTAGTAAAACATACATGTAGGTGAGTGTTTTCTTACTAGAATGGAAAATTTCGTTGGATTTTGGGAATTTTATCTCCTTTTTGTTCTTCTCAAGGAGCGGATTCAAGAGAGACTCAAGTTCCAGTGAGGACTACTCAAGTGACAGCCACTCTGACAGTGATGAGGAGCAAGAACAGTGGATGGAGAAAACAGCAGGTAGAAAAACTGTCACCTGTCAGTCACATTTGCCATATCTGTGAAGAAATCAATTTTTGCAGGTAGACTTGTTCCTGGTACTTCCTTGCGTCTTAACCCTAAAAGAGCTTGGTTACATTGGACCACCTCACAGCCCGCCGCAATCCCCCAAGAATTGGGCTGTCCAATGCTGGGTTTTTTTTTACAAACTTCATATGCATGACTTACCTTCTCAATACAAATGTTAAATCTGTCATATGGTTTGACAGTCACTTGGAAGTTGGGAATGGCAGCGGAAAAGTAAACTTTCTTGGTTGACCTCTCTCAGAAAAAAAGTGCTGTGCGAGAATTCTGTTTGGTCAGAATCACCAAAACACTTATTCAAAAAACTCCAAAAGGTTTCTGGAAACTATGCACCTTGATAATATTGGAAAATATTGGATAATATGGAAACTATGCACCTTGATAATATTGGAAAATATGTTAAAGGAAGGTAGATTCCCTCTCCCCTCCCCCAGCTCTTTAGGGTAAAATTCAGAGGTTCTTCAAGAAATTTCCACTCGCACAGCCAAAGTTTTCACAATTTGTTAAGTTGAGAAAACAGTCACTGGGTACCTCCTGTTGTTTGTACATGTGCCAACTGGCTGAAGATGGACCTTTTCCGAATTAGCCGGCTTAGGCTGAGAGAATTAAATAAGTCTGTGGCAAATGACTGAAGCTACTCACTTGTGTTATTACAGTCTGACTGAGCATGCGTGAGGGCGCTGTTATCAGCTGCCATATGTAATTTTTTTGCACTCCACTTCATATTTTTTAATCTGTTTTTATCGTGTGTTTTTTAGCCATCACTTCTTAACCACTTCCTGCCGGGGACTCTGGGATCGGAGACGTATGGTTTATATGGGTGGCCGGGGTCTCCGAACTCGGACAAAGGAAACAGGGCCCTGTAACAAAAGACCGTACTCCAAACAAAAGACCAGGCTGCTGGGCATTACCTGCATTTTTTACTCTCAAAAGTGGTGATAATCCAACCTTGTTTTGAAACCCTATACCAGGGTTTGGGGCATTGAGAGCGAGCGGATTAACACCGGGAACAAAAGTGCTCCACCACCGCAGTGATGAGTCACACAGCACTGCTGCACTCTAATCTGGCCCCTATTGAAAAGAGGTCAGCAGTGCACTGAGCCAGGTTTGTGAACAAAAGACAGTTATATAACATCGCACAATCTGGGCTCTGTTTACAAGGCTGCAGGCCTGGCTGAAATACTCTGGCGTCAATGAAGGTCACCTACCAACTTCGAGTAGTGCCTGAAGATTACTTCGTGCGGCTATAAACGACCGTTAAANGAAGTGGTAATCTTCGAATTGTGGTATCCCTGCTTATTGAGTGTTTCTGAAGTGTGGATTTTGTCATCTTGGGGAATGTTGTAAGTGTACTTTCTACATGTTTTTATCATGCTGTATTGATTATCGAGTAGTGATATGGCCATGAGGATAACTTATAGCGGTGTGGTCACAGTTCTATGTTTCATGGTCCTTTGCGATGCTCTACATTTGAGAGAACTTCAGCATGGTATCACAGGAAACGATCTTACGATCTTCTATAAATTGTCCTATGTGCCAGCACGACTGGGGGGGGGGGATCACAGAGACACAGGAGACTTCCTGGTTATTATCACTCTAAGGTCCCAATTTGTAAATGGACCAAACATGGACAAACATGCCTCGTAATATCTACGGCTGATCCCTTAATGGACTTAACAATTTGCATGGATGTCTCGGAAAACCCAGGACCACGCACCATCAACCAACATAATTTGTCAAATGCATGAATTTTCACCATCAACTGTGGTTTCTCGAATACCAGTGAGAGTTACTCCACGATATCAGCCTTCAAAACTAAGGTGTGGTGACCAATATCAATGCGCCACTCCTGTGCGATGTACTCAGAAGTCACAGAGACCTGTTTTAATGAAACTAGTTCTCACGCTGCCACGATTTCTCATTTTACGATGTTTTGCAAGAATCGTCCTGATAGACGAGGTGGAGGAGTCCCAATATATACCAAGGACTACCAGACTGCACAACCTCTACCGGACCATACATGTGACTTTGAATGTTTGTGGGTGAAGTTTCAGCTAAAATACGACAAACAACCTGGAATCAATCTCTATGTTGGAGCCATTTACTATCCTCTAGAAGCAGGGTATCAGCAAGAACTGCTTGATCATGTTGTTGACCATATACAATCTGTAGACACGTCTGCCATATGAATATGTGAAGCCTGAATGACCTGGACTGTGATCCCCAGGAGGTCAACCTAGGTTTGGCACTGATTATTTCATTCCATACACGACAAGTAGCTACACTGGACAAGATCTTCACCAATTATCCTGCTTTGAGGAAATCAAGCAACTGGCCCCATTGGACACAAGCGACCATTGTTGTATTCCTACAACATCTGTTGCTGAATTTCTGCGATGTAACAAAACTCTGCAGGTGCGACCATACGGGGATTCCTCTGTAAGGCCATTTGGACGCTGGTTGATTGACTTTAATTGGATTGATGCTTTAAGAGATTTGCCATCCTGCAATCAAGTTGGATATTTTATTATTATTGTGACTGATGCTTACCATTGTAACTTTCCCTTGCTTACTAGGAAAATCAGTAGGCATGACAAGCCTTGGATGAATTGTTACATCAAGAAACTTATCTTAGAGCGTCAAAAAGCATTTGCTGACAGTTAAATAACAACATGGCTAAATGGAGAGCTTTGCGTAATAGAGTAAAAAGAGAAATAAAAAAGGCCAAACATCATTTTTACAGAAATAGTGTTGAGAACCTTAAAAAAAAGAAAAATCAACCAAGTAAATGGCACTGTGAAATTCAGAAATTATGTTCACTTAAACATAAAGCTGTCAATATCCCTGGCTCTGAGATTGATCCCAAGGCGACCGTTGACAGGATAAATAATCATTTTACCAGTATTTGTACTCAGCTTCCTGCTCTCAACTGTGACAAGTTCCCATTTTATTTGCGTGCGGAATCGCAACCACCTCTTATTTATCGTGGCCAAGTCTTAAAGTCTTTGAGAAAACTTAATTCAACCAAGGCTGGTCACCCTGATGACTTACCAGTGCGACTCATTAAAGAATTTGCTGATGAATTAGCATATCCTTTGACACACATTTAAATTTTTGTATCAGTGATGGATACTTCACTGATGTCTGGAAAACGGCAACGATTATCCCAGTTCCTAAAGTGAAAAATATCACCTCTTTTGATCAGCTACGCCCAATTTCGCTCACGCCAATTTTTGGTCGTATTTTTGAGTCATTTCTGGCTAAATGGATCCTCCAAGATATATCCGCTAAACTTGACTCACAGCAATGTGGCTACAGAAAAGAGTATTCTACTATGACTACCAGGTCGATATGTTGGATTTTGTATTTAAGGGGTTAGATAAATCTGGTTATTTTGCACAGATTTGTACTAAAGGCATTTGACCGCGTCAATCATAATGTTGTTATCTCCAAACTCTTGAACCTGGGTGTCAGAATGTCCATTGTCCCCATCGTCTGCAGCTTTCTTACATCGAGCACGCAAAATACCAAATTAAATGGGCATTTCTCTACACTTCAACATACTTCATGTGGGGTGCCACAAGGGACAAAACTTGGCCTGATTCTTTTTCTTAGTTTGGTTAACGATGCCTTGATATATTGCTCTAGGTGATGGAAATATGTTGACGATTTGACCCTTGGGGAAATTGTTGAATATGGAGAAGTACCTAAATTACAAACTCATCTTGATGACCTCTCTGAATGGTGCAAAATGAATCATGTATTGCCTAAACCCGTCAAATGTCAGCACATGACTAAGTTTTTTGAAGCGGGACTTATCGAAAACTTCTCTCTATAAACTCAGTCAATCTGAATCGAGTGTCCCATATAAAGCTATTGGGAATTACAATTCAAAGTGATTTAAAGTGGGACAAGCACATCGGGGATATAGTTGCTAAGGCGTCTCGTAGACTGTACGCTCTATGTATTTTGAAAAAAATGGCGCTTCGGTAGAGGATATGGTAGCAGTTTTTAGTGCTTATATTAGACCAATTTTAGAATATTGTAGTCCGGTTTGGCATACTTCTATCAATAGTCATCATATTAATGCCACTGAAAAGGTTCAGAAGCGTGCCTGTAGAATTATACTCGGTCACCATTATGATAGTTATGCATCTGCCTTAGTCAAGTTAAACATGATAAATCTTGCAGAAAGACGTCAAACGCTTCTCTGCAAATTTGGCAACAAAATCCTCAATTCCATTAAATTTAGGCATATGCTCCCTCATCCTACAAAAACAACTCCAGGCAGCTTAGATCTAGTTCCATTTCAGCTCTTCAGATTCCCACTTCGCACAAATCACTATTAAAAATCTACTATCCCTATATTGGCCAGAATTTTAATGTAATGTAGTAGTTTTTATGGCTAATAGTTTATCAGGAAAGATTTCCATGAGGAGCACTCTTAATCTCACTTGGTTACCCTGTTGGCTCATGGGGTTTATAATGCTGTTTTGGTGGTGCTGTTTTGAATCACTTCCTTTTATTGGAGTTTGGCGTGTAGGGTGATCTCCCCGTATGGATCTCTTTCTCTTCTTCTTGCTTTTGAATTCTTATTTTTATATTTGGATTAAAAAAAAATTTTTTTAAGTAATGTTGTAATGTAAAGTTTAATTAATATAATTGTTAATCGTAAATGTAAATTTGAATTGTTTTGGCCTTTGGCCACCGTGATTCAAATTTAATAAACCATAATAATAATAATGATAATAATGAAAAAACTTAAGGGGAAGTTTTCTTGTTCTTCCTTTGTGTAGATTTGGGAAGGCCTCATTGCCAGGTGAATGTACTGCCATGGCTGCCTACATGAACGTTGAGGCTGGCTAGCGTCATGGTGCGAGTGGACTGACCGATGAAATTTCCAACGTGAAAAAGCAGGCTATGTCATAAGTAGCACAGGTAAGATTCCTGTGTTTCATGTCATTGCTGGCTTTCTGCAAGGATGAATCTGGGAAAGGGGGAGGGGCCAATTGGGGCCGTGACCAAAAAAAGGAACAAAAATTATTTTGAAAAATGATAGGATCTTTTTGGTCTATTTAATTTCCCGTCTTTTGAAAAGTGGAAATGTAGCCTAACCCCTCAAACAACTTTAAAAATAAAAACCATTGGCCCCCAGAATCCCCTTTGTTTCCCCTCCCTGAAAAAAGTGGGTCCTGGATCCACCCTTGGGTGCTTGTGGCTTGCTGTTAGGGCAACCCTGACCTAGGGATGGTTGTGTGCATTGTGTCCACCCAAGCAAGACGATAGGGATGAAGTTAAACCCTTGTAACCAGGGCAAGCTAGGTGAATGCACCCACTGTACTGAAATTGTTCACATTTTCCTAGCCTTAAGTTCTTTTCCTTCATGGTTTGTTGCTGTTTCATGGCAAATTACCATTCATCAATGGTTCAGCTATCCTGAGACATGTTCAACATGTTCAAGGGGCAATTTGGGTTTTATAGTTTTAATAGTAACACTCGTGAAATGAAGCATCTAATCATAGACATAAAACACCTTTAGATGGATAACAGCAGGAGCATAATTTAAGGAAAGTCTCCGTTTTTAATAACCATAAGCAAATGGCTGCCTTGTCCCCTGGGGTTTCATGATTTGCTGTGCAGCTCTGCTCTACATCAAAGAAGATGGATTGGGGCAACTGTGGCAATTGTCCACCAAACATTATTTGGCCCTGTTGGTCTTTTTATTAAAGTTCTAACCCACCACAGTTCAATTTGTCTTCGTCATAATATTGCCCATTATTACAAGCCATTAGTAGAATCCAAAGTGCACATTATGTGAAATACAGATAAATTCCTGACATTGCTGTTGTTTAGTGAATATTTCGAAAAGCAGATTTAACATATTTTCTCAAGTTTTATCTGAAAGAGCACTGAGAACTGTGTTTCCAAAATATTTCAAAAATAAAGTCTGAAAATATAAATCACATACATTATGGGGATTTGTTCAGGCTTTT